ATTTCGTTTGGTATCTGAAAGGGTTGAGAACGCGGTGCGTTCTTCTTGACCAATCACAACCTGCAAGGTAAAGCAATACCAAAGCAATCCCGACATTCGATTTAAAATCGCTCCAAACTTGCGTTGGTGAGATGGGTTACGCTGTAATAGTTACCTTTACATCAATTGACCAAAGACTTGGCCGATTAAGTCTTGTCTGTCCAGCTATTGTGCCCAGCAGTAATCTGTCATCTTTTTGTTTTAAAAAAACACAGTTCTCACGATAACAAAGGAAAACAATTAACAATTTGGAAATGCAGTTGATAGAACCTACGCCAACAAGATTCGGAACTGACCCGCTTAGCTTCTTTAAAAAGCCAAATTGATCCTGTCGGTAAACTTGAAGTATTGCTTTGTTTGACAGCAGGCAATAATTTGTTGTTTTAATAGCTTAAATTGTATGATCATTTAACCAGAGAACCAAATGCATGGCCTGTCATAAAAAAAAACGCTCTTGAGCGGTTCATTACCCGTACAAACGAGCACTTTTTGGAGAGGTTGCATCTAGGAAGCTTCGAGTTATAGAGAACCCGAACTTTAAACTGGAAAACTGAATAGAAATAAAGATCTTACCTTCCCCGGTTCGTTTTTCTCACCCTCGACCATTGTCGTCTACATCGAATTTTCTTTGAGTCCGCAACGTAACCTCGACATATTTTAATCTTCTTAACCCCGAGTTCAAGGAACCCCCTGCGATCTTCTAAAAGGCCAGCCCTCTTAAATTCTATGACTATTCTGAATCAGCGAATTTCTCAGCAAGATAAGTATTCCTACTAATTGCCCTTCAAATTCTTGACAGGTTTTGACACCTTGAACTGTAACCAAAACATAAGAAGTAAACAAGTGCAAATCTTTTTTTTATCCAGCAGGTTAAAATTCATTGACTGTGCTGGTGTTAAAACCTGAAAATAATAACATATGGACCGAGATTTGTATGTTGACTAATTACCTAGTAATTTGTTGCGGAAGCGTCATTTTACTTACCCGAGCCAACCATTCAATATCTTCGGAAAAGTGCCGTAAATCAGACATGTGATAGAGAATGCACTTTTACGGTTGTACTTCTCAGAAAACCAAACTCAACTTGATTCAGTTTTTAACGTTCTCTAGCAACAAGTTGAGTCCTGTGTTAAGCAGCGAATCCGATCCCTTAAGGAAGCTTTGGATTATTCCCTCCTAGCTTATTTCAGGCTCTGAAAAATGCTATATTTGACTCGGTGTTGTTCAGGGGCATTCGATGGACTTGTTTATGCAGATCCCCGCTGTTCGATCGGCGCACTCCCGCCAAGATTTCTCACCCTACCAGTAATCTATGGTGGCGAATGTCATGAAAGTTCTCTGAGATATGAATATCATTTCAGAGGACAACTGAGTATTTAAAAGTCGACCATGACTGCAATTCGCTAAATACACCTCGTAAGCATAAGATATTTCTACCTTTAACACTACTGGCCCCTTGTAAGCAAAGATAAGAGGACATTTCTAAAAACGAGTAAAAAATTGTCAGGCTTTCATCGCAACCTGGCCTGACTTTTAATCTTGTGCTCATCAATTCCGAAACGATTGCCTTATTCCTGACTCAGAGAACACGCTAAAATTAAACATCGCCCATACTCTAGAAGACCTAACTAACTATTTATTGGTACCTAATTGCATTTATTCACGAATTCTAAACAACCTAACTTCCTTTAACCCCCCTGGGGAGAACATTTAGATTCGCAGCGTGACCAATCCGATACCCGCTCTTTGCTCAAAGCGTAGGACGTTGGAATATGACATGACAACTGCCTGATATTAAATGCCCTAGACTCAATCAAAAACAATCTTTCAATAGTACTAAAACAGTGATTAGCGTTGAAGGCACGCTGTGATTGGCTACTCAGACTCCGAATATCCTTTACTTTTCACCTTCGAACAACGCACGCCCGAAAATACTGTTATCGTTGCAGGAATAAATAATAGTAATAGAATAGCCCATTTCCGACTTACCCTTGGCCTCATTTTCAAAAGGAGTCCTGGTGCTCATACTTTCATATGATTATAAGTTTTCATTCACATGCAAATTAAACTCATTTTCGCAAGAATGGTTGAGCACCAGGCCTCGTTTTGAAAAAGAGGCCAAGGATAATTCAGAAATGGGCTATTGAGTGGAGTGCAGTTTGACCTACGCAGCACTAGTTTGATTTGAAATCACAAGACCTTCACCCTAAATTGATTCAATGACACCCACAACCTTAAAAATATCTTGTTTAGCTCTAACGAGAGGCTATAAAACACCAACTGTTTTAATTCAATGGCAGTCTTAATGAACAAATCGATGGAGTAGCGATGGGGTCACCCCTTGGGCCACTCATGGCAAACACATTTACTTGTTCGATCGAGGAGAAACTAGAAAGCGAGGACTAGTTATCGTATTTTAATAGATACGGGATAAAACCTTTGTCGCGGCAAAAGATATTCCAACTGCTACAGCTTTGCTGGCAACATTAAACGAGGTACACCCAGCAATCAGCTTCACGATGGAAGTTGCAAACAGCAACAAACTACCTTTCATCAGAATGGAGCCATAAAGATTGGAAAACAACTGAAAACATGTGTCTACAGGAAAACAACAAATAACAGCCTTCTTCTCTACTACCAAAGTCATAATGATGCCTGTTACAAACAATCGCTGTAAATATTCCCATACAAACCCTCATAATTCCGCCATGACTGTTATTGCGCAAGATGATCATCTCACAGCTGGAGCTTGGGCCGCCTGTGTCCCCCCTAATTACTATATTAAACAGTCCCTGCTCTCCCTCATTCTAACCAGGACCCCATTTGTTCGTAGGTCGATTAGCGCTAACTAAAGCTGGGTTATCTTAACTCAGCTTTAAACTACCCGGCCAAGATCTATTTGCTAAAAAATGTAACAACTTGAGAGAAATCTTGAAACTGAAGCGCTTAGAGAAGCTCATAAATTCTTTAATAACAGATTCATCGAGTCGCGAAACCAACAGCAAGTTCGCGATGTTCAAGCAAATGCACCCATTCAGATTATTCTGACATTTAAGGTTCAAAGATCAGCAGACGTCGTGCGAAGACAGCCGTCCGATATTGGAAATAAAATAAAAAGCGATCTACGTCCAGTTTTTCACAAGCAAGAAAATAGCCGACGACATCAAAGTAGCAGAGGCCAAACCACCGTTAATAAGTCAAATATACCTTTTCTACTAATTTAAATGTGATCTGTGTGACGCGGATTATGTTGTCTATGCTAGCCGACACCTTTTTCAACGCTTTGTTGAACACAAGCACTCCGCTTTTGGTGACGCCCACAATCAGAGGAACAAAGATCTAAACGTACAATTTACCATACTTCAGAATTGTCGCGAGATATTGGAATGATTAATTTACGGAATGCTCTTCATCCACGAAAAGAAACACTGAACCCTCCATCTGACTCAATTGCGGCTAAACTATTCAGTACTTAACACTCTCGACATTCCAAATTGTAGAGTTTTCAAACACAAACGAGACTTTTACACGCATTCTTAGTGTATAAAAGAACTCATACAAATCTGACTTTTACAATTTGCAAATGATGAACGAGTCATTGAAACGTCATTCGACATTATTATCGCTAATTCTTATCTATAAGAGTTTGATTTCGGATCAAACTGAAGCTTCACGACCTAAAGTTCATCTACTACTTTATCAAATCCATATTGAAATCACAAAATTCAGTCACTCAGATACAGGATGTTTTAGTCTGTGCAAATGTTTTGCAAAAGTTATTTTTCTAGTTATCTTATAAAAGCATCTGACCAGGAGATCTCTGTAGGTTTTCATCGGTGTATATCCAGCTCTTGAAATACCTACCTGCTTGCCTGCCTTCCCCGCGTAAATCAAAGGCTTTTCAGGTGTTCTTCAACATCCCGCGTGGGTCATAACGCCCATTGGTCCAATAGGAAGTTCAGTTTAATAACATACGATTCTGACCCTTCTTAACCTGGTTCTTGAATTTTACTGACCACGACATTTCGAAAATAGCTCAGTAGAACCAATCATGAGCCTGAAATTTTTAAAACAATTGACTTCGGGCTGTTAGCTAATGCGTAACCTATAAAAGTGGTTTCCCTTCTATAACACGGCTGGTAACATTAGGGAGAGGAAGGGATCGTTACGTTCTTTGTTTTTAGTTCCTGTACCCTAAATGGATATTATTTTAAGTTAGAGGTTTAGGAAGACTCATATCAAATTCCTTCGATTCCTTGTTAAGGACCATATCAAGCCTTTCCAAGTCTGTTGAAATCAGTTCTTAAACTATCCTACCCTTTCCTGGTGTAGGAAACTTTGGATTCTACCTTTGAAGCGAAAACAAGATCTCTTTCAGTTATCTTCACAAGGTTTAGGAAGAATGAGGTACACTGGCGGTAACTGAAGTCAACTGACGGAAAATGACGAATTGTGACTGTATTTTACCATATTTTACCACGAATTATTATATGGCAAGATGGCACCAAGGTATATCCATGTGTTCTAATTGGTTTTCACTTGCTCGGTGTTTTGCGCTGCTGATCGTTTCCACGAAAACGGTCATAAGTCATGTATTCTTGTATGCGAAAGACAGAAAATTCAAAATAAACAAGTTTTCTCCAAATGCCACACAATAAACTACTTATGAATCTCTCTTGCTCAACCCATACAGAGGATAAATAGCCCTAGTTCGTTTTTGAACGGACCTCGCTGCGCTCGGCCCGTACTACCACGACCTTGGGCCAGTATTCCCCTGTACGGCCCTCACATTCGCTAGTAAGAAGTTCGTATTATTAGTAGACCTTAGCCTAGATATGGGTCTAGAGGTGGGTAAATCCACGAGATGCTTGCCTGACACGGTTGTCGGAAACGACCACTCGACTGCTCATGGAGGTTCTTTGGAATCGTGGGTGAAATATAAGAAGAAAACCACTACTTCATAGCCTTGAGACAACCCCAAAATTTATGGAAACACGTACTTAAAATCGAAATTAACAATTTTGAGAAGTTTTGCGAATATAAAATAATTGACATGTGCTTCTGTACTGGTGTTAAAAAATAATAACTTCTGATGAACAAAAAGAAGAAATTTTTTTCCAAGATAGTTCTTAATATAGGTGGATTTGAAATCGATCAAGATCTACGCAATTCTTCATTTTAAAAACTCTTTCAAACAGAAGTATGAAACCCTTCGTAAAACACCACCTGCTTCTAATTTCCAACTCTACGCACATTTCGCTTTCTACTCCTTGACCGGCTACCGAAAGATTCAAGTTTATCATCCTTATTGCACGTCTTGAAAAGCTTGTTTTTTTGATCTTGGTGATTGCCAACGCCCTTTCAAAGCCTGCACTACAACCGAGATGATTTCCGTCAGGCTGTGGTGCGCCTCAAAAATCTCCTCACTTGACAATGTCTGTAAAACGTCAGGTAATGCGAGATCTTTAAGGGAACTTAAACAGTTACAAAACCTCTCCTTATCACTGCCTCCTTCGATAGATGTCGTGGAAGCAGAAGGATGTTCAGGACTTTCCTGAGCCAACACAGCCGCTTCTGTAAGTTCGGTTCCCTTAATGTCTATGTTCCCTTCATCTCCTGAATCACCCTGCATGTCAGCGGTCCCTTCGATAACGTCAGAGCCATGCGCAGGACGATAAGGCCCCATACCTCCCGCTTCCATCCCCATCTTATCTCCTCGAGCTTCAACAGTAGGCAGATCAGTCATTTTATCATCATCGACAAAGACAATTTCCGCCTCGCTTCCTTTCGACCTCGCATCGGACGCCATATCTGCGGTTTCAACAACCAACGTTGGATCAGGTTTACTTGACAAACATTCTTCACTGGGTTTGATTCCTTCTATCCTAGACTCCGCAGCCGTTTGTTGACCTTCTGCGCCACCGGAACTCGGAGGATCCTCACCTCCTACTGGCTCAATCACCAAATCAGCCTCGCCTGGGAGCTGTGTACATTCAGAGGTGGCTGCATCCTCTGTTGCTAAGAATTCATGGAAACACGTTAGCAGGCTAATGGAAGTATAAATTGCAGGTTGAATTGCGGGCTACGCGCGCTGCAATTGGTTTTGCCTATGTTTTTTGGGGGATTGGGCAGGCGAGAGCCTTGAAAAAATGAAAAAGGAGCCTTGTACAATAAAAAACAAACAAACAAACAAATAAATAAAAAGAAAACGAAAACGAGACCAAAAGTTATTTTGGCTTCTTAAAAGTACCCAATCTGAGCCAAATCTTCAAACAGTTGAGCGCAATTATAAACGTCGTCAAAATGTGGTAACAACACCACAAACTGAAAACGAAGATGTACTCCAAAGTTTAGTCAAGTATTCCACAGAAAGCATTTCTCACACCACACCTCTTGATAAAAATCAAAAGACTAAAACAAAAATTAGACTCTACTCATTCTGATGAAATCACTTGAATTTACACTTGATGACATTTAAAATTTCTTCATGATCCTTTATAATTTATTAGGGCTAAGGCTATCATAGCTATTCTGTTTAGACTTGCAGCTTTAATTTCCGTTAATCCATTTTAGTGTACTATCTTTAGATTAACTTTCTGGGTCATGGGACCACTCTCACCTTCTTTGTTTTCACTGTCTTCCTTGTGCGTAGCTTCTGGTGTTAACTTCGTCATAATAGATTTGGAATTTCTCCCTTTTTGACTTTGATGGAATCTTCTTAAAGCTTTCTTCAATGTTGGCACTTTGGGTGACTTGATGGGAAGGTTTCTTACCTTAAAAATTATCTCTTTTAGCTCTACCTGTTATCTCTTGAAAAACGTTTGTCCTAATTTAGAAACTGTGGATTAAACCTTGTGAGAACATTTCAGTGAAAGCTATGTTGCCCCACTTTCACGTGGTACCCGTTTGTTTGCTTTACCTGTTCCTCTTTCAAAGCTGACAAGTTTCCAATGGTGTGAATATTTTGCGCACGCACCAAGTGACCCATACCACGTGACCAAGACATGGTGAGAATGGAGGGAAGGATCTGTTCAACTGGCACTGTGCAGGAGATAAGATCCGGGAAGACGCAGTCCGTCGAGTCCTGGGCAACAGGGGCGTTGCTCGCCGGTAAAGGTCGTCGCTGATTAAAAAAAAAAAGAAGAAGAAAGACATTGTAAACTTCATCATGCTTAGGGGCCCGTTTCTCGAAAGTCCCAGTAACTTAACGGGCCAGTTAAGCTGTTCTGTTTTCATTCCAGATGGGGATTTCAAAAGTTTTGAAGATAATACAATAAAACTATCAGCTAGAGAAACGAATGGACTGGTTTGGGTGCCAGAACCTGCTTTTCTATCCTTTAAATTTTGATTTTAAAACATGGCTTCGGGCCTTACTAGGTCTTTTGAGAAACGGGCCACAGGTATCTCAATACCTTAACTACTCAGGGAAAATCCCTTTTGACCATAACATGTGATTTAACGCAGGTGGGACCTTTACATTCAGACATTCAAAATCCTCTTCACTTCAACATCAGTATGCACATTCTCCATACCGTTATCTACACACATCCCAAGTTGCTGACAAGGAGAATTTGTTTAACAATCAAGAGTTGAGTTCTTAAGTTAGTGATATTTCCTTTGAGGTCGTGATGTTAAGGTATGATTGAGGGGGTGATATTGTACATATCAGATGCTAGTCACTTGGGGCCAAAGGGTTAAGGAAGCCATGAAAAAGTTTCCTTTCCTTCGGTTTGGTATGATTATTACGTTCTATAAAAAATATACTATTCTATAAAAGTAAATATAGCTTTTACTCTATGACCTTTGAGCGTGACCATTTCAAGGAAAGTTAGTAAGCTGTGCGTTCAGTGCAGTTTGCTACACAGGTGAAAATAATGTATTCTGCAGAAGGCTTTCTTTATCCACTTTTTGAACGCAAACCTAGAATTTGTTAAATTTCTTGCACGAACTGATATTAAATTTCACAAGAAACATACAAATCCTTTTAATTCCCAAGATCTAATTGTTGACTCTCCCCTTTAGTTGCTACATATTCCCATGTTAATCTGTAGCGAGAATTTGGTGTTAGATCAAGAGAACACCTTTTACCTGATAAGTTTGATTATTACACGACTCGGGCAGTCAGAGCGCCAATAACTAAAATCAACCAATCACAATGCTCTATTGCCGGTCAATATTCTCTCAGTATTGGACCGGGCACTGTCCCGAATGGTCTCGAATGATACCGCACTTGTGTCCCTTTGAACTTCAGTCGTATAATAAACCTCTTACTAACCAAGCTTGGCCGGGACCGTACTAGAAGAATAGCGGCCCTCGGTCTTTTTTGTACGGACGTCGCTACGCTTGGTCCGTACTGTCAAGACCTCGGGCCGATATTCTCCTAGTACGGCCCTCGCGCTTGGTTAATAAGATATATGTATTCTCGATACCTGTTTGCTGGATAGTGTTTGGATATTAAAGGTAAAAGTTACACGTTAATCAGCACTGGGAGTTGAACTGTTAACATAGTTACGTACCTGCTTAACAGCAGTAAACGGAGAAGAGCGTGAAGTTTTAAGTTGTGCAGCGTTAGTACTTGGTTCAGCGGATTCTTCTTGCAAGTCTTCACTACCGTCATGTTTTTCAGGCAGCGCAAACGACACTCTTCTGACCTTGATAAGTAAAACAGAACAAGTAAAATCTGGTTAGTGCACGAGTCACGACAAATAGCAAAAACATTTACTGATAAGCTCTCCCTTGCAAAAACGGCGAGATCTCAGCAGCCTTGTTTTTTTCTTCGTTCATTGCAAAACATAACAGAAGTTTTAAAAATACACTTTCTACCAGGTAAGTTCATAACTATTTAAGATCATAACACTGGTAAAAAGTCCTAACAATATTAAAAAAATATTTTAAAATCCCAATAAAGTCGTCCTTGAAAAAATCAAACGATGAACTAAAATCAAATTTTCCAAAACGAGACAAAATATCATCGATTTAAAAAGAACTGGTGGACTTTGTATTTCAATCTTCAGAAATTAGGTGGCTGAGGAGAACGCTTTTCTTAACTAATTATACGATATGTATAATAAATATAAGTAACTACATTAAATATTATTACCTTCCCGGGAGGGGAGGGCGAGTCAACTCCTTGCTTGTTCCCATGGTATCTCTTTAAAATACCAGTTGTGGGGGAAACTCCCGGGGAATTTCTTCCGAGGAGATTCGATCGACAAGGACTACCCCCTGCTGCAAATGGACGGAGGAACTTGCTTTTAGCGCTGAAGACTGGAGACAAGGTTTCATCCCTCGTTACGCCTGCGACAAATGGTTCAGTGGCTTCCTCTGAGGGTGTTTGGTCGCTCAGCTTTCCGGTCTCTGCCAGTTGTTTACTACTGAGCATAATCCTGCTGACCTCTTGCTCTGTGGGCTCTTCTTGTGGTTTTTCGAGCTTGTGCGTCATTTCGATCTTCCGTTGAAGTTTTCTTCTCGTTCGCCCGGCAACTGGCGAAACTTTCGTCTTAATTATTAGTTGTTTTTCACCTTTCATCGGTGAATCACAACTGCTAACTTTGTCGTCATCCAGAACATCACTCTCTACTTGCGTTTCCGATACCGTTTCTACGTCTTTACCATCAGAATTCTCTACATCGTTCTGCTCTCTTTTTAACTTTCTTTGATTATTTGTCCGAGTTTGAACTGAACCCGCCAGAATGGAGTCGAGCGGGACTGTGATTCGTCTAAGGGACTGGAATGGGGATTCAAAGCTTGGCGTTTGCGATGACGGTATGACGTCAGGTGACGTCACCTCCTCATCGCCATCACCGGAAATCATTTCGTCATCGGTGTCTACCTCATCACTTACAGTTGGCTCTGCTTTGTGGCAAAGTTTTCTATCTTCATTTTGGGAAGATTCCACTACTCCGAAAAAGTCACATTCTTCTACTTCAACCCCTCTGTCTCTGTCTTCCATTTCTGCTTCATTTTCTTTCAAATCTTTGTCACTATCCACCATTTCCCCAACGTTGCTTTCCGTTATTCTCCTTTCAATGGCCTCGTTTATGCTTTCGTTTTTGCTCTTGCTTTTCTCTGTATCTGGCACATTTGAGTCACCTTGGAGCTCTTTCTCGTTTCGACAATTCAATTCTTTCTCGCTATCAGACAACTGAGGTTTTCCTTCTTCTTCTACATAAGGGAAGAGAGAGAACAAAATAGACGATTTTTCAGTCATATGTAGTCTAACGCTCGAAGTCGCCCCTTACCATCTACTGTGATAGACAGTTCGCTGACTATTAAATCAACGCGTCGCCCGAAACAGTCATAAAGCACTTAGTAAGACGATGTAGCAGGGGCACTTTCATGATTCTCGTGCTTGAAGACGAAACTTGTCCTATCTACGCAGACTCCGGCAAACTGTTGAAAAAGCACTGCTTTAAAGAGCAGATTCAACAAAATGCTAGAGTTTCAGAGGGTTGTGAAGTAAATGTCAAAACCTGAAAAGCAGGCAGCTAAAGGATGTTGAATTAGTAATGTAACGTTCCTCATTTAAGAGGAAGTGGGCGGAAGTTTCGTTGGACACATACGGAGAACTTCACCGGTTACCAGCTCATGCAAAAACCCGTGAAAATGTTTAAAATATGCACCAAAAGATATCTTTAAAGTAGACAAACACTTCATCAAAATACTGCAGCATGATAATTTGCAATAACTTCAAATCATTTATTAAAGAGAAGCTCACCTGGTGAACTGGTCGGAGTTGTGTCAACGCTGTATGGAAGAAAAGAAAATGAGAGATTCTTGGTTATCGTGGCACCTCACACTAGTCTACATGTAGAAAAGAATAGATACTCACGTGACATCGCCATGTGACGCAAGCGTGAATTGTGAAAATTGTGAGCAATCTTGTGATTGGTCAAGCGCATTGTAAAGGGTAGGAACATCGCTGTAGTAAGGAATAAAGGAATACAAATTATCAAGGGTCCAATATGCTAATAAGTAAGGTTTACGATTTTTTACAGAGTCGGAATGATACCCTGAATATTACTGTAAGCTCGAATAAATACGAGTTAAATCAAGGGTTTGTTTCCACGGTAATAAGTTAATACTCAATAGTAATAATTAAAACGAGAAAAAACAATAGTATTAATAATAAAAAAAATTATAATAATAATAATAATTGACACGGAACACATCTGTTAAACTCGGTTCTCTAGGATCACACTCATATCAGACCCAAACTAACTTTGATAGCAAGAACGACCTACATATAAAAATCCCGAAAGCAACTACTAGTTCGTATTGAAAGAATTTCAAAAAAATGTGCATCGAAATTATCCTTATAAAAGTAAATTACATTAAAAAAATAAGTAATTTATGAGAAGGGAAATGACACTCTTACTCTAAAAATCTGTAATAATAATAATAATAATAATAATAATAATAATAATAATAATAATAATAATAATAATAATAACACAGAGGGTAATTTAAACTACATCCACAGAGTGAATCTTTGTCAGTCATTTTAGAGTCAAATTTGAAGTTAAGATGTTGGTTTTTTGTGGACAAAGGTAGGAAAAACCCTCAGAGCATGGTCATCCCAACCCTTGCGTGACGTCAGGAATGGGAATAAAGCTCTCACCAATTTGCCAGGCCTACTTGCCATCCCTACGCCATTCCTATTCCTTGTAAATAACTTGTGTCATGAACATTTTGCAGGAATTTAGGAGTTCACCATTTGTTTAGTTCTGGGTCTCTGCGTCGACCATTTTCATGAACTCAGAGACAAAATTTCTGACGGGATCTAATCTTTTTAGTGTGAAGCAGCTGAATATTAATAAGGAAAAAAACTTGAGTATTTTCAACTATTATCACTCGTTGAGTTACAGAAGAGAATTGATGTTCTTTTCAAGGGGATTAATGGGGTTTTATTTGACGATTTTTTTCTCTTATGGGGACTTATCCAAGCGGATCGAAGGCGGCTCTCGAAATCCACAGAATTCAAACCCTGTAAAACGATGAAGTTGAACGGTCTCTCACAACTACATTTTACTCTTTTTTTTTTTACAATCAGTGCACGAGAAATATTGCAAAGAATAATACAAGTCTTGAGTTTCTCACCCTCTACTCCGCAAAATTTCTTTTTGATGTTCAGTAAGCACGCGCTTCTTTTTCGGAGAAGGAGCAATCATGACGTATTCCTAGCGACAAGAAATGGTCAATTCAAATTCTTTCATTATATTATTCCTATTCAGATTAGAGATGGCTTCGGAATCAATTACAAGCATACTGGTCACGTACATATAGCTCATGTGTTACTGAGCTGCTCAGCATTTCCTTATTGATATCGACCAACCTGGTCATCGTCGTCAAACTTGGACAGCGGTAATTTCCTCCTAACATGCGTATTGGCTGGGGAATTTCTAGGGCGTCCAACTTTTGGAGACCGACTTATCTAAATGCGTGAAGAATTGACAGAAAAAACAAATAAAGAAAAATCAGAAGCAGTAATACCATACGCTTCATAAATTCTAATGTAGCTACGTCCTTTAAGTGAAACTCTTAGTTCCAACTCTTAAAATATTGGTATTGAGGTATTGGTGCTGTCAAGAATGGCTAGAGTCTTGTGAGGAAATATATTCTTATTTAGTATTTACTAAAACAGTGGATAGGGTTGAGGGCGCGCTCGATAGGCTACTCATTTCCAAATATCCTTTGCTATTCACCTCCGAGTAACTCGCGCCCGAAATATTGTAATCATTGCAAGAATAAATGAGTTAAAATCATATCATGCGCCCTTTTACATCACCGTTCAGTACCGGTATGTACTAATACAACTATTCACCTCAGTGTTGGTGGCTGGTGGCGGATTTCACTTCGTTGAATAGTTGTCAATACATAGGACGCTTCCCTGACTGTAGAAGCATGCAAAGTATAGCTTTGCTTTTTAGCTAGTCCTGAGGTTGGAAACTTTACGGATGAAATGTAATTTTCTTTGTCCGACGATAGGGGACAAATGTCAAACGTCTCTTTATTCGACGATTGAACTTAAAATCCGCCATATCATGAGTTATTTTATTATTCCATATTCTTTCACCTGGAGAAATGTTTGCAAATTTTACAGATGTCGGTTGTCTCGGCTCTAAAAGCCTTCATAGAGTCAAAATGTGTTGGAATTCTTACTCTTTTAGGTGAAGCATTTTCCAGCACTTTCTCGATACTTAAGGCCTTGTGTAAGAAACTGCCCTTCAACTGTGGGGACCCTCCTGAAACTGACGTATGCTTACGGCGCTGAGGAGAGCCTAGGATGCCATATGGCAACGGTTTCATAAGGTTTGCGTTCTGGGTTAGTTCTTCAGACTGTTATGAAGTAAGAAAAAAAAATAATACACACAAATTAAACGACTGTAAAACAGATCAAAAGACTAGCGTTGCTCAGTAAATCTAATTTTAGGCTATCCACCCAGCAACGATCACAAAAAAAAATTTCCCCTAACGATATCAATACATCCGCAGGCAGAAGGGAATGGGCTTGATTTTTCATTCAATTAAAAGCTAAAATCAAACGAAATTAATGCCAGACAACCGTAGAGTACGTATAATTAAATCCTGTGAGTAAAAGGGTTAAGGATAGTAATTTTTTTTCCTTTCCACCAAACAAAACGGTCGTTCAATAGACGAAAATCACAAACTATGGGAAAATGTCATGGTACAAAGCAAAGATAGAACGTAAATGGTTGAGGAAGCACAGATCAAAAAAAGAATTATATAAAAATTTAGCGTGAATTGTCAACATGCAAAAACTTGAACTTCAGTATGCCCGACTCCTACAAGTGTCACTGTTAGATGAAAATAAAAAAGTATTGCATGGAAACTAAAAAGTGAACGAACCCACCTGTGAATTAAGTCAAAAAAAACATAAAAACAGAAACTGGATAACTTACTTCAAGATCCGAATGTGCATCTTTGTCTGAAATCTGAACGTAAACAAAACAATTTTTAGGAAATACATTAACCTAGCAAACAAAAGTTGATCAGAAAAAAAGGCATCGTTTGTTTCCTTTTCTTTTCCTCCATGTTTGCTTCAAAGCCACAAAGCAAATTTAACTGTGTTCTAAATTTTCTGCTACAAAGACATGAAATATGCATAAACTTGAACTTCAGCATGCCCGACTCCTTCATTCATTTGAGTAAGAAATGTTACCTTAATATTTTCCCAGCCTGGCAGTGTGAGTGACATTTTATCTCTGGCAATCTGAAGAACCGGTCTGGAAAAAAATTAAGGATATCATTAATAGGTGACAACTAGAGAGATAAGAGGAAAAGTGTTAGACAGCTGATTTAAGAGCCTGAATTGTAACAGCTTTTCTGTAGCTGATTGTCGAACTTAGTCTTTTAGCCCCAGGAGTCACTAACATCGAATTTCTCCTGACATTAACACACCTAAACCATTAAGGTCACGAGAATAAAGGAAATGAACACTAACAAAATCAACTCTTGATTGCTAAACATATTCTACCTCTCAATACCTTAAAAATGTAACGGGAACAGTATACAGAATACACGTGAAGGGCGAAACCCCTTCCGCAAACACAGCAAGATTATCATTGCAAATGAGTACTTTGCCTACTTTTTCAAAACTGGTCTCCTGGATCAGTTAAAGTTTAAGGTCCTAGAAAACAAACTCTTACAACAGACGGATTGATAATAGATTGTTGTCAGCTATTAAGAAAGCATTAACACTGAATGTTTGGATGTAGTTTCTAGAGTCAATTTCTTTAAGATACCTCAAGGTTTCAGGATACTCCAAAGTTTTCGAGTGAGCAAAAGTAGCATTCCAGAAAATGACAGCGTGGTTCTTGATACTCCTTTTTGGATGACCTAACGTCACTTGCTGTTAAGAAATTAAACAAATAAATAAATTCATCATTTCACCCTTGGATGAAGACTTAACCGTTAAAAAGAACCTTATTAACTCTTTCACCCCCTAACAGGGTTCGACACCAACGGTAGCCCATTAGCCACAGGCTAGTAGAAATTCAGTTTTGGCTAGTGGTTTTCGATTTCCACTAGCCAGTTTGACTAATAAACAAATTCAAATTATAGTAACATCCAAGACATCACTAGCCACTTGGCTAGTGAGTTGAAAAGTTAGTGTCGAGCCCTGACCAAGAGGGACTTGCCGCTAATTTCTCTTTACAATATCACCATGAATCAAACATTAAGGTCAAGAGAGTAATGCAAATGATCTCTAACTAAAGAAGCTCTTGATTGTTAAACAAATTCTCCTCGTCAGCACCTTGGGAATGTATGGAGAACGGTATGAAGAATATGTGTTAGAATTCTAGTGTTAGGATAAAAAAGGTTGAAAGACTTATTATAGAAGAATGTCATGTTTGTATCCAAGTCTCCAGTCGCGCACTGAAGATGACAGACTTCCGAAAGGTCTTGCACATAAGGTTCTTTCGCGAGAAGACAATGCATCAGGCCATTTCCGAATTACCTTTGGCTTCTTTCAAAACGAGGCCTGTTGCTCAACCATTCGCAAGAAAATGAGTTAAGCTCGCGTGTACATGAAAACTTAAAATCATATGAAAGCAGGGCTCGACACTAACGGTAGCCAACTAGCTACAGACGAGCAGAAATTCAGTTTTGGCTGGGGGATTTCGATATCCACTAACGAGTTTGGCTAGTAGCCAAACTGAAACTGTTGTAACATTTAAGTTGTCAGTAGCCACTTGGCTAGTAAGTGGAAAAGAGAGTGTCGAAACCTGTGAAAGGATGAACACCAGAAATCGCATTAAAAGGGGCCATAAAAAAATTTAGCTTACTCCGAATATATTTATTAAATCATTATCTCTGTCTTAATAACTCTCGATGGCTCTTTCTTGTTTATCAATCTATCTCTAAGTTCTACAATAACTCTTTTAAAAAATCACTGTGTATGTTTTGTTTGTTAGCTGTGGAATGCATACAACACGTAAGCAACCTGAAGGGAAACAATAAACTTTTCACACCCTAACATCAGTTTGCTTATTCTCTATACTCTTCTCTATACATTTCCTGGACGAATTTTAACAATCAAGATTTTCTTTAGTTAGTGATCATTTCCTGTATTCTCTTGGTCTTGTTGTTCTATTCTGGGGTGATGTTGTAAGGAGAAAGAAGATGCTAGTTAAGGGTAAAGCATATTTTGATTCCATACAAGCCTGGCTTTCATATGTCTGGAAAATCCCGGACGAAAGGCAATTTCACTTCTTCGCGACTACCTCAGATTTTGGCGATATAACGAGAGATCGACAGATGTGTGTCCCAGATTCCTCCGCACAGCATTTTTATTTGTGACTCGGGGTACTATGGCTACGCAATTAGAGGACTGGCAAGGAGTTAAAACTATCGCTGACGTCCCCGACAGTGAAAACTGATATTTTTATATTGAAAATGATCGCCGATCATCGCAACAATCTGGGACGCGTAGGGAAAATGGAAACACTCACTATTTTCCTGATTTGTAGACGACCATCTTAGAAAGTCGAGTTCTTTACTGAGTTTCTGAGTTTTCATTTGTGAAAAGATCTAAAACGGTCGGCAAACAGTGACTATGCCGATCTTCTGGGACTTTCCCGACATATGGAAGCCAAGCTTTCACAAGGATAGAAAAGAAGCGCATTACAACATACCAAAAGAGGAGACATGACTGATAACAGGTCGGAGTTATACGGTCCACCATGACGGCTCTGAAGGCAGGTGAGAATGTCAGACCACAGCTTCTCGATCTAAAAAAAATATACACATATTACTGAGCATGTTAGCCAAGAGAAAGGATTCACTCAGCTTCTCAAAAACAGATCTTTTAATAATTCACGTCAGACCATCATGTAAGATAATAAGAGGCAGTGGATAGGGGTAAATACATCAGTGCCGAAATGTGAAGAAATAAACACGAAATATCTCAATGTCTTCCCTACCTTTTGAATAACTCTTGCTGAAAACAGCCTCTTGTCCAAAGAGCTTTCGGTGTTCAAAGAGCTTTTCGTACTACGTGAGAAAAAAAATCAACACCATTTGGAAAGGCTGTTTGTGAAACCTTTACTGTACAAGCAAGTCGATAAATTTACTTATGTTCAAACAGTTTTTCCCTGAACAGTTCTTCCCTTCAAATTTCAAATTTGTAACTTCCTTTTTCACATTTGATCTTTTGTTTCCTTATGAAGGGTTCTTGGCAAGAAAAGTGTGATTTTCTTGACGTCCTATGTCAGGTATAACCATGATGATGTAGGAGATTGGGCCTGTGGTGCCATACCCCTTATCCATGAAGATTAAGGGCCGGTTATGTACACGAGGTCTTAACCAAACCGTGGTTTTACGCAAGCAATGGACCACGGGTATTCTCCTAAGGAGGGTTTATTAAATTAAATAGCTTTCTTTTCACTATTAGCTTTCGGGCCTCTTGACACTGTTTGCAAAAATGAATGTTTAAATAAAAGATTCGGCTAAATTGAACATGGCTTAGAACGCGGTTTGGATAAAAAACGGCTAAACTTTGTTCCAATACCCGGCTCCAAAGAGGTCTAACCATTGTTATGGACATCTTGACGATAAAGAAATCAACTCAGTTTGGATGAGTGCTGGTCTTGACAATAGATCAAACATTCAATCTCGTGGGTAGCAGTCCACCATTCTACCCGTTTTACTTAACAGGCAACAGTTTCAAAGCCTCTTAACAATTGGGTAAAGATCCCCAATGTCTTTGGTAACATTAAAAAACGAGACTGCATAATTATTTAACACACGGTTTTACCTTGTGTGCGCATTCTCTATGTAGTGCACAAGAGTAGGGGTTAGTGTCTTCAGAACAGCAGTTATGGTCGCAGCTCCACTGATGTGAACAAACAGGTAAGACAGCTTGTCTATCAAGTTGGTGAGAATTGCTGTCAGAATGCCAAGATTCTGGGTTGAATCCTAGGAAGATAACAATCAGTGCATTACCCGATTTTAGTATGTGATTGTTGAATATTTTAGTTTGTTTAAAGACGTAATTTACTAAAGTAAAGTCTTAAGCACTCTAAACAACAAACGTGTTTAGTTACAATGATAAGGTTGAGATCGGACGTCAGCATTATCAGGCACCTCTGGCAGCCGCTTCAGTCCATGTAACGATC